TAAGATGTGGGTCGGTGTCAGGAGGTATACCCTTCAGACACCTACCCTCTTAGGATTTTGTCTAGTATGCGTACCCCCCTGAGGTGAAGTTGGATCCCCACTTCACCTCAGACCCTTGCTGACCGTCTCTCAGCAGTAACAAGCACCCCCCCCCCCCCCCCCCCCCGGGAACGAGCGTTTGCCCATCGGTGCTCACTCTTGTGGGACCAATGCTCCTTCCTTTCGAGGACGGGTGGTAAAATTGTTTACCCGAAACGGGGTATTCAAAACCATCCCCCCCCCCCCCCCCATTTATTAGGGGGAGGACAACCCCAGTTCCCCCATCAAGTGGAGGGAGGAATTCCGGAGGGAGCCCCCCCGGGATTCGCGAAAGCCCGAGGAAAACCCCAACAGCAGGGGGGACCCCCTTAAGGGGCCCAGGGGGCCCAGGGGGGGGAACCATCCCATGAGGACGGGGGCCCGGCGGGGGTCCCCCAAGGAGGCCGCCCTTCCGGAGGAGGAAGGGGTAAGCAAGGGGGGGGGGGGGGGGTGTACTCATAGCCGCCAATGCCGTACCGGTAAATAGTCGTTATACCTCGGATTCTTACGAAGCCGGGACGAGCAAGCCGGGTTCTCACCGGACGAGGCGATCACATCACCAAGCGCGAAGAAGCGCCGTGAGGTATTCGGGGGGTCGGGGGGGGGCGTTCTTGTGTTCTGCATACCTTCGCTGTTAAAGACCGATGACCACGGTTCCCGGAGGGTGGGATCATTTGTGCCCCCGGCGGGGTTTGTCTTTCGTCCTGAAGTTGTTGCGTTTCTCGAGGAGTCACTTGGCGGTGCGAGCCTTGTCGGGAATGGACGAAGTGGTTCCGCTCCTGGGACAGGCATGGCCAAGGTCGGGGCACCGGGTGGGACATGCCGTGGTTGTACCAGGGTTTTTCTTGATGTTTTCTACTAGCTGTAGAAGTCTCTCGTCGATGATGGTGAGGTCTATGTATGAGCGCGCGGCATTGAAAGGGCGCTGCAACCTTTTGGGGGGCCGTGCTATCTCCTGCCAATGCCGAGTGGGCCTCACACCAGGACCGTCACCACCAAGACGTGGCGTATGTCGTGTGCGCCTTGCTGTAGGAACGTTGTTTGTGTAACAATCTGCGGACGGTCCTGTCATTGCCTGCTGTGCCTTGTTTGCTCTCCCCCTTATGCTTCTGAGATGAAGAGCTTCACGCTGTGGATGCCGCCCCAGTCATATGCCTCCTCCAATTATGGAGGGGCCATGGTGACAAACACAACCTTAATTCGTATCTGATCAGAACACCTATTGTGCAGTTCGAGACACCGATTCCATCTCCTTGTTTCGGACTTGATACCATCAGTATACCCAGCGCGACAGGGAACACAGCAGTGGCAGGCAACACATATGTTTTTTTGTCGCTGATGTTGACGATATGAGGGAGGTTTCTGATATGATGAGCTTCACGCTGTGGATGCCGCCCCAGTCATATGCCTCTCCAATTCTGGGGGGGGCATGGTGACAAACACACGCTAATTCGTATCTGGTCAAAACACCTATTGTGCAGTTCGAGACACTGATTCCATCTCCTTGTTTCGGACTTGATACCATCAGTATACCCAGCGCGACAGGGAATACAGCAAGTAGCAGGCAACACAATTGTTATTTTATCGCTGATGTTGACGATGTGAGGGAGGTTCTGATATGATGAGCTTCACGCTGTGGATGCCGCCCCAGTCATATGCCTCCTCCAATTCTGGAGGGGCTATGGTGACAAACACACGCTAATTCGTATCTGATCAGAACACCTATTGTGCAGTTCGAGACACTGATTCCATCTCCTTGATTTTGACTTAATACCATCAGTATACCCAGCGCGACAGGGAATACAGCAGTAGCAGGCAACACAATTGTTATTTTATCGCTGATGTTGACGATGTGAGGGAGGTTTCTGATATGATGAGCTTCACGCTGTGGATGCCGCCCCAGTCATATGCCTCCTCCAATTCTGGAGGGGCTATGGTGACAAACACACGCTAATTCGTATCTGATCAGAAGCTCATCCGATGACATCCCTTTGGAAGCCATGTGAAATGTAGTGAGTGGATTGTCGCCGGAGCAACGGAGATTCCGGCGATCGGTCCCATTGTTGCGAATTTTTTGTTGTATCGGTTGTGTTGTGTGTGCACGAAGCTTTAAACGTGTTGGTTTCTGAGATGATGAGCTTCACGCTGTGGATGCCGCCCCAGTCATACGCCCCTCCTTAACGGGGGAGCTATGGTGACAAACACACGCTAATTCGTAGCTGATCAGAATCCTTACTTTTTTCTTCTCTTCAGCAAGGTGGTGCCACTGCCCTGTTTTTTATACTGTTACGAATTGTTTGCTGGTTGGAAGGGGGACATTAGAAATATGCCATTCTGCTCCTGTGTGTGTGATCTTTCCCCGTGCAGCTCGACAAGCGTTTTGGGTCTCGGAAGGTGGAGGCGTTGGCACCACGCAGGCTAGAAATCCCCCCCCCTCCCGCGCATGTAACATACAATCAATTCGCGAAAACTCACAACCCTTTGTCTTGCCTTCATTCTGTGCCCCCCCCCCCCCCGTCCTCTCGAGGACGCGTGGTCAATGATCTAGCAGCCAAGACATGCAAAACTTGAGTACCCACCCCCACCCCGAAGAAAGACATGGCAATCAACTTGCACCATTAATTACAGAGATTACAGAGATACCCACAGCGCTCGCTCTTTGCCCCCCCCGCCCCCCCTTGGCAATTTTCAAAAAGGCGGCATGGGCATGATGGGCCTGGGCGTAAGAAGGGCCGGGAAATACCTGCCCCCCCATCCTAAAGGGGGATTCTCCCGCCCGGGGGAATCTGGGCCTGAAGGTGCGGCCCACCCCCTGGCCATGGGCGAAGA